TCAAACAGATGCTGGAGGTTGAAGAAGGTGATGGCTTGGGCTGGGCCTGAGTCATTCTTGCTCTTAACACCCCTTTATCCAGTTTGCACCCCCCCTGGCCCATTGGATTGAATATTTGTCATTTTTATGTTTTTATTTTTTATTCTGACTTTATATTTTTTTGCCCAAATATAAAAAATGCCAAAAATAATTTTCCACATTTTTTTCATATTTATTTAATATTTATCTATTTTGTTTAGGCATATATATATAAATAAACATTTTCTTCTTTTGATAAAACTTCAAAAAATAATACAAAGATATATTTATTTTTTTATTTATTTATTATTATTATTTTACACTTGAAAACATTTTCTTGAAAATATCCATTTTTGTAAAGAATTAATTTTTATCTTTGTATATTTAATATGATAAATATATATATATATATATATATATATATATATATATATATATATATATATATATATATATATACTTGTATATTTTATTTTATTAGATAATTAGGACAAAAATATAAGAATAATACACTTTTATTTTTATTAATATTTGACACTAAAAATACTTTTTTTAACAATGTACTTTTATTCTTACATAAATTAATATATATTGTATATAATTAATAAATATTGCTTTTTATTTGAAAAAATTAGGGTTTTGCCCTAAATGACCAAACTAATTAAAAAATTGACTTTTTATTTTGTTTATATTTCACATTAAAAATACCCTTTTCACATACATAAACAATCTTTTTTTTGCATAATACATTTCATTTTGATATTTACTTAATTGTATTTATTTGAATGATAGACATTAACTTGTACATTCGATATGGTTGTAATAATTTAGAATTTATTTCCTTGTCAAAATATCCCCAATTCAAATTTGTATCCCCATCCCCATAATCATGTTGTAATAGCCTAGAACTTTAAATTCTCGCACATTTAAAAGCTTTCAATTATGTCATGCCTAGACCTAGGGTTTGTATGCAAAATCAATCAACAATTAGCTTGACCTAATCTAAGATAAATATGCATGAAAAACAAACACAATGCACACTTGCACCCCTAGGGTTTCATCCACTTGTTGCCTTCAAAAATGGGCCATGGTTGCATGTTGAGTACTTTGGCAAAACAAAAACAAATCAAAATGATCATAGTCCCTCGATGACGCTATCTGAGTTGCCTAAACAAAAAATGATCAAGTCCTCAAGAAAATTGCCAAAAATACTTGACTCTATTGCTATCGTGGTCTATACGATGACCCGCGCCTGTCCCGTTAACATCCTAACATAAGGTTGTTCACCAAATACAATGGTGAAACAACACTGTTAAAAGGGTTAAAAACATAAGAAAGATCTTTGAGTAAAATAGGGTAGATAACTCTTAGTTACTTGACCAAACTTGCAAAAAATATCCTTGCTACTTTTCAAAAACACACTTCATAACACAATTTCAAAATCCAACCTCCAAACATTAAAAACTTTTCAAAAGACAAAAACACATTTGTATACATTTAAACAAGAATCATTACAAAGGTTGTCACAACAATGGCCTCTTTTCAAAAACATATTTCAAAACCACACACAAAGCACCATTTCAAACAATTGAAAATGTAAAGCAAGTGATCTAAGCAAGTAACTAAGAGCCCATGGATAACCATGGATAGAAAGGGTGCTAATACCTTCCCTTTCTATAATCTACTCCCCGAACCCAAGAAAACATCTCAAATGTCTTTCTTGTGCTTTTTGACCCTTCCTTAGGATAAAATAAAAAGTCGGTGGCGACTCTTGCTAAACCGAAACATTTGCGAACACAAACGCAAAACCCAAGTCAGTTCTCCCACCGTATCACACTCGCACCTTCAATTGGCATCAAAGCTTCAGTTCTAATATTGATATCTATCAAACACTTAACCATGTCAAATAAAGATCCATACGAGTTTTAGAAATACTATGGTTGATCCGGTTCCACCACTACTTGCTTCATTTTCTGATAAAGATAACTACAATGCTAAACCTCCCATTTTTTATGGTGAAAAGTTTGAGTACTGAAAAGATAAACTAGAAAGTTTCTTTCTAGGTCATGATGTTGATCTTTGGATATGTTAGTCGTTGGCTACGAATATCATACATATGAGAATGGAAAGCAACTTGAGATGAAAGCTATGACTGATCAACAAAAGAAGAATTGTAAGAATCATCATAAAGCAAGAACTATCTTTTTGAATGTTATTTCTCACACTGAGTATGAGAAGATCACAAATAGAGACTCGACTAAGTCTATATTTCACTCTCTCAAAATGACTCATGAAGGGAATGATCAAGTCAAGGAAACCAAGGCCTTGGCCTTGATTCAGAAGTATGAAGTCTTCAAGATGGAGGATGATGAAACAGTTAAGATGGTGTTCTCAAGGTTTCAAACCTTAGTTGCAGAACTGAGAATTATAAACAAAGGATATTCAACATCAGATCACATAAATAAGATTACCATAAGCTTTCCATCCAAACAGAGGCATATGGTAACTGTGCTCAAGCTTGCAAAGGATTTGAACAACACTTCTCTTGAAGAACTGGTGAATTCTCTAAGAAGTCATGAGATTGGGCTAGATCATGATGAACCTAAAAAAAGGGAAATCTTTTGCGCTCAAATATGTCAAGATATATGAGAAGTTCAAAGCTCTTCAAGCTGAAGAGATTGAGGATTCGAAAGAACATTCTGAAGAAGATGAAAGTTAGTTGTCTCTATTGTCCAGAAGGGTTAATCGTCTCTAGAAGAAGAATCAAGGCAACAGGTTCAGAAGTACTAGAAGGACAGGAAGTCACTTCGAGTATACTTTTGATCAGAGGAAGTCTAGTGGCAAAGAAGTCACTTGTTATAAGTGCAACGAGTCAGGACACTACAAGAATGATTGTCCTGAACTGCAGAAGGACAAGTCTAAGAAGAAAGCTCTTAAGAGTGAGAAGAAAAGGCTGATGGCAACCTGGGATGATTCTGAAGACGACTCAGAAGAAAGACGTGCTAACATAACATTATTGGCTTAAGCTGGAACATCTGTTGAAAGAGTCCCTCTAGAAGATAAAGCAGAATCAAATTCAAACACGGAAGAGATGTTCTCTAAAGAGGTATTTTGGGACCTTACTCGTTTTGAACTAACTTCTTCTTAGTTAAAATTATGGAAAAACATGAGTTACTCAAAACTGAATTCAGGGAACTTAAAAATTCTCATGAATCCACATCTTCTGAAAACAACAAGTTTAAGGAAGATCTCTCCATTTTAAATGAAGAAAATTTCCTTCTCAAAGATGAGAACTCTGCCTTCAAAGGCACGAGAACTCTTTAAAAAAATTCTGAGAGTACTGATGATGTCATCATGAAATATGACAAAGCCTTCTAGAAATTTCTAGCTAGAAGCATAGGGAGAAATATGATGGCTTCTATGATCTATGGGTAAGCAGAAATGGAACCAATGGTATTTATTATAACTCCTATGACGAATCTAATTATGATAAGGAAGAAAAACCTAATACTCTTCACTCATATTTTGTCTTTGTTGGGTTTTTTTCTAAAGATAAGGGAAAAGAAACAGAGGAATCTACTTCTGAACCTAATGCAAAATCTTTGGCTAAAACATCTAGATTTAATTCTTACAAGTATGATTATTCTGCTGTTAAACCCAAAATTGTCAAAAACTCCGGAGTATTTTTCTTCAATTTGTTTGGTTGCTTAGGGTCCTAGCGGTTGTCTTGTGATATTTTTATGTCCTTTTAGATTTAGAGGTGACAATAGTTTGTTTATCATTGTTTAATTGTATTTTTGTTGATCTTTTTTGTTATTTGTTTGGTGTGGAGTTGTTTTGGTATAGTTTATGTACTAACTTTTACAACCTATTTATTTGGGTGTAACTTATAGCTCACCTTATATTTTTTTATAATATTAATTGTACTTGGCTTTTTCTAGAAAAAACTTACAAATTAAAATAGGGGTTAATTTGCAATTTTTAAAAATTTGAAGGACTGATTGTAACATTTGGAAATTTATTAGGACTTATTTGAAAAAAAATGGAAATTTTGAGAGTGAATTTGAATTTTCAATAAATATGAGGATTATTTTGCAAAATTTAAAAGATTAATAATAAACAATTTAACATTATGTAGAGTGAATGTGTAGTTTTAAATTATTTTTTGTTTGTATTATTTGAAAATTTTTAAATTTAATTTGAACAATATATTTTAATAAATTTTTATATTTTTAATCTAACAATGAATTTTGATGAATCATTTTAAATTTAATTTAAAAAATTTCTCATTAAAAATTATAAATTTCTCCTTAATAATTGTTAAATTTAATTATTTGGTCCTTAAAAATTGTAAATTATTCTTACTTTTAAATTTTAAATTTGATCCAAAACTTATTAAAATAACCTCAAAATTTTTAACAATAAATTATTTTAATAATCTAATCAAACAAAAAAAATTAAATTATAAATACAGTCCAAGATTTCTTTTATATTAGTATGTCACCTTTTGCTATTCCTTTGGGTGATTATTTGGTTTTGAAATTCTCTCTTAGCATGTGTTTTGTTTTTACAGCGGAATAGAGCAATTCTGGGAATAGAAATAAAATTTATTTTTTAAAAACAACTAATAAGAAGAAAGTATTTTTTTAATCTATTTAAAATTTAACTTATCTTTTAAATGTTATTATGCAATTGTTGTGTTAATAGCGGAGAAAAAAATTATTTATTTTAATTTTTAATTAAATATAAATATTATAATTGATTGTGTATAATCTTATATATTATATCTCTGATTATTTAAAAAAAAGTAAAAAAAAGTGATTATCTTGATGTTGGGTAAGTACAACAATAGGACAATATATAGCCACATCACAAGTATCCATGGTCACCACGTGTCACGCTTTAAACAGCTTAACGTGACTTTCTTCCTCAAAACCTTTCTCTGCAAAACCAAACCAAACCAACCTTGAGTTCCCTCTCACATGGCCATTTCCCTCTTCACTACACTTCCATTTCTTTCCCCAACAACCACCATATTCACTCTATCAACCATCCTCACAAATTCAACTACACGATATCACTTCTCAACCATCACCATGAACTCCACCACCACCACTACCTCAGCAGCATCTTCTTCCTCATTGCAGCATGTACCGGAGCAAGACTCTAACGAAATGGAACGCTTTGCGAACGTAACGTTTCAAAGGTACACTTCCAATAGCACCAAGAGGAATGGCAATGGTACAGCAATCGTCTGGTTTAGAAATGATCTCAGAGTCTTGGATAATGAGGCTCTCTACAAAGCTTGGCTTTCTTCTCAAACTATCTTGCCTGTTTACTGTGTTGATCCTCGACTCTTTGCCACTACTTACCATTTCGGATTTCAAAAAACCGGAGGTATATAGATTCTTCTTTACATTCACATTCATTTACGTATTTTCTTCACTGAAGCAATCACACAAACACCAGCACTAATAGAGTGTTTTTAGCTTATTTCTATGTTTTTTTGGTTCTATGAATTTGAATTTGATTAATGTGATAGCAATAGCAATAGCAATATAATATAGTGTTCATCTATATGAATGTGACCATGTGCAGCATTGAGAGCACAGTTTTTAGTAGAATGTTTGGCTGACTTGAGGAAGAATCTAATGAATCGGGGACTTAATTTGCTTATTCAACTTGGGAAGCCTGAAGATGTTATTCCTTCTCTAGCTAAAGCTTATGGAGCTCATACAGTTAGTATTTGAGTTTGATTTTTTATTTTAAATGTTTTGATGACATAGGTTATATTGATGGAGTTTTCAGATTTTTCGATAATTGAAGGTCTGAGGTTGGTTTATTCATGAGTGTTAAATTGTCAGGTTTATGCACAGAAAGAAACTTGCAGTGAGGAGTTGAATGTTGAAAGGTCTGTCAGCAGATGTCTTCAGCAAGTGGGGGAACCATCTGATGAATCTGTTGGGGGTGCAAGAAGTTTAAATAACCACCCCAAGTTAGAGTTTGTTTGGGGAACCACCATGTACCACCGAGATGATCTTCCGTTTGATGTCACTTGTTTGCCGGATGTTTATACTCAATTTCGTAAGGCATGGTATATCAATTGATATGTGTGTAGATTTGTATATTTGATTTGAAATGCCTTTTATTGTATTTGTTGAGTAAGACTAATATTTGCTAATAAGTAGCAAGTTGCTCGGGCATAGCTAGAGCATTTGCCCTCCGGGGTTGGTTCACTCGTTTGTTGGACTTGTAGGCACAATTGGCCCTACTCCATGATCAACTGTGGTGTTTTTGTGTGTTTATTTATGTGTTTTCTTTAGAGCTGAATTTGCTGTTCTAACACTACTTGGGCTGCGATTGAACTTGTAGACTGTCGAAGCCAAATGTGCCGTGCGCTCATCCATCAAACTGCCAGCATCACTTGGACCACCTGCCCCTGTTGAGGATTGGGGAAGTATTCCTTCAATGGAGCAGCTGGGACTTTGCTCACAGAATGTGGGGTTTTTCATAAGTATTTGTGGAAATGCCTGCAAGAGACTCTAGTATTTTGAACTCAACAATGAAGAAATATTGAGTTTGCTCTTTCTGTTTGCTTTCTCTTGATGTAGGTTAGCAAGGGGATGAAATTTGTGGGGGGTGAAACTGCCGGATTGAGCAGAATATATGACTACTTTTGGAAGAAGGTAAAGAGGTGATACTGAGTTCGATGCATTAATGTCAGCCTTTGTTTGATTATCTAACTCATTCTTGATATTGCTTATGCGTAGGATTTACTGAAGGTATACAAAGAGACTCGAAATGGGATGTTAGGGTCTGATTATTCTACTAAATTCTCACCATGGCTTGCATCAGGAAGCTTGTCACCTCGTCTCATACACGATGAGGTTATAGTTTGATTACATTCTCTGATTTATGCGTGACTTGATATTGAAAAACTAGACTGTTTTAACAAACTTTGGTCTCTTCATCATAGGTGAAGAGGTATGAGAATGAAAGACAAGCAAACAGTTCTACCTACTGGTAACCCTCATTTCTTCTTCCTATTATTATATAATTACACGTTTGACATCCTCTGCCTTCTTGTAGCGCATTCTTTTCTAAAACCGTCTTCTCTTTTTATAGGGTTTTGTTCGAGTTGATATGGAGAGATTATTTTCGATTTCTATCAGTCAAATATGGAAATTCACTTTTCCATATAGGTATGGATTGTTCAAAGTCTTTGACGCCTGTGGTGTTTTTTTCAGTCTTGGCTTAAAAGTTCAGCTGGTTTAATTTTGGATGCATCTCTATAGAAAGTTTGTTATAATTAATTTGTCCAGATTGCTTATTTGTATTCATTTTTTCTTCGTAGGTGGACCGAGGAATGTTCAGCGTAATTGGAGCCAAGACAAGAAACTATTTGAATCCTGGAGAGATGGTTGTACAGGGTACAATGTCTTTCACATTATTACCAATACTTCTCGATATTATGTTTGTTTTTCAATCCTCAAATCTACAGTAAATGACATTTTCTTCACCATCAGGTATCCTCTGATAGATGCTAACATGAAAGAACTATCAACTACAGGTTTCATGTCAAACCGTGGACGGCAGGTGAATCAAAGTAGTACCTTAATATGTTTCTAAAGATACATTGAATTAATGGAAATCTGCATACACTTTTTGCATATGAAAATGAAAAATGATTACCTTTTTGACAGATTGTGTGTTCCTTCCTAGTTCGTGACATGGGCATAGATTGGCGCATGGGTGCCGAATGGTTTGAAACATGTCTTTTGGATTATGATCCGTGTTCTAATTATGGGAACTGGACTTACGGATCAGGTAATGTTTGAAAACTTGTGTAGATTTTTCTAATGAAAATCGTAATCCATACTCTCTCTTGCACTTGCAGGAGTTGGGAACGATCCTCGGGAAGATCGTTATTTCAGCGTTCCGAAACAAGTTAGTGGCTAACAATTTACTTTTGTAACTTTTGTAACATAGATTTGAAACAGAAACAGTCGGTAAGTTTTTTGTTTTGGTTATGATGTGACACTATTATATGCTTGTGGTGTCAGGCACAAACATATGACCCAGAAGGCGAATATGTTGCATACTGGTTGCCACAGTTACTAACAATCCCAAGAGAAAAAAGGAACTTTCCTGGTAGTTTATACATTCGTCAAGTTGTGCCTCTCAAGTTTGGAACAACTGGGAGAAACAATAAGGAGGAGACTTCACTTGGTGGAGCAAGAAGAAGATATGATCGAAGATGGAATAGGAATTAAAGAATAAAAAATGATATCATATGATAAATTTGAGTTTGCTTTGCAACCTCTCATAGTTTTTGTTGTTATTGGCATTTTCATTTTGAAAAGAGATTAGGCGTACATCAATAACTTAAATGCCACAATCAATTAATATATTACAGTGCAGAAAAAAGGTGGTGAATAGTGAAATCTTTATTAGAAGGTCTTCATATGGTAGTGAAAGTAACTGGAGACGAGAATAGGTAAGCTACATAGTCTATAACCTAGTTTATTTAAGTAGGGGTTAATTTGCCATCCTAAAAATTGTATTTGGCACCTCCCATTATAGTCTATTTAAGGAGGGGTTAATTTGCCATCCTAAAAATTGTATTTGGTACCTCCCATTATTTTTTAATATAAAAAATGTCAACTAAATCTCTCGAATAAATTTTTTATATAATGTTAGAAATTTATGTATAAAATTTTCGATAATTCATTTGAAATTTTTGATAAGTTGTAAGTATTTTTGAAATTTTCAAAATTGCAAAAAAAATATTGAGAAAATTTCAATTTTTAAAAATTGTTAATAAAATTATAGAAATTTCAAAGTTTGTAAAATTTCTTGAAAATTTCAAAATTATTGATAAAATCTCAGAAATTTTGAAATTGCTTTTAAAATCTCTTGAAAATTTTAAAATTGTTATAAAATCTATTGGAAATTTCAAAATTGTTGTGGTAAAAATTTTTGAAAATTTCAAAATTATTGATAAAAATTTCACTTTTTTTAAAAAATTTCCTATGTGTGTTTGAAATTTTCAGTATCGTATAAGAGATTTCAAAAACTTTGGTAGAAACTTTAAACAAGATTATTGTGATCAGAACAAACCTATTTATGAGTCTATTTAGGTCAAAACAAATCTATTTTTTAAATTTTAATAAAATTAATAATTCTTTTTATCTTATGAGTCATTATCATCGCAATTATGAATCTATCATTAATAATTTAAAGATAATAAATAAATAAAATGGATTAAATATATCATATAAAAAAAATCAAACTAACATTTATATAAGTGTAAAATTAACAATATATAATTTTTCAAACTCACATTTAAATAGTGTAAACTTAATAATATAAAATTAAAAAGGTCTTTACAATAAAATTGTATGAAAATTATTTTTAAAAAGATAATTTGATTTTTTTTAATTATTAGTAGATACCTTTTTATTAATCTTCATTTTAGCAACAAAATGTATAAAAAAAAAGGAAAAGAGAAAATAGAGAGACAGAAAATTAAAATGAAAGTGAAAAATTGTGAGATAAAAATAAAGGGGTGGCTTGAAATTTTAATCAAGACACGAGAATGAGTGAATGTAATATTTAAGTGTGATTTAATTGATGTAGGTTGAAAAATAAGTGTCACATGTCAACTTTAGAAATATGTAGTTTGTGATAAAATAGGTTCATTTGTTAAATACAGTGTAGTTCTTTCTGTAGTGTAAATGATTTGAATATATAAGGGTAAATTAAGAATAATTGTTGCATCTCTTTTTCTTAGATATATAGTAGATAGTACCTTGGTGTGATGCACATATTGGAACGACAATTAGAACCATCTTATGAGTGCAGTGTCTCGCGGGGGCATCGTTGGAAGGGTCCAACGGTTGAGATGGAGAAGTGTTTTGTTCTAGTATGAAGTTGCCTCATGAAAGTGTATTTATTCGTCAACTTTGGTGGGGCATTTGATTAGGCCTCCAACTTGGGCCAGTTTTATTTGGTCGTTTGTCTCATCTTGATCATTTTTCTTCTAAGTCCTTACTATCAGGCATGAAACTATGATTTGCCGAGGAAGTGTTATGATGATTGCAAGGAGATTCTGTCTATAAGATGTCTTCTTTGTTGAAAATGATCCATGGAAAGGGAGAAGTTCACTGAGGAGTTAGTGTCCTTGGAACATATACCTACATCAGGGAGAGTGTAACACCCCAATTCTACCCCGACAATTATATAAATAAATCAAAGTTATAAAATCATTCACGCAAACAAATTGGGATGCCACAAATTCATAATTTAAAACTCATTGCATTCATCGTGGATACATAACACTTTAAAACTTCGGATAAACCATCAGCATAAATACTTTAATTAAATAATTCAACAATTCAACATCTACACAACGAAATTCTTAATAACATCTTTATCATCATTACAACAACTTCAAAACAACACAATTTAATAATAATCAACTTAAAATTCAACGACTGAATAATCAACAATCAAAAGCAACAAGCGTTCATCCTCCCGAGTGTTACATATCAGAGCAATGACACCGACTCGAACTACTGAAGGTATACAACTTTCACTCTCGATTACCTGCATGTTACCAGCATAAAGGCAACATTCAAACAGAAGGGGTGGGATATCTAACAATATAATAAAGCGCATGGTAATTAATATATTAAATTAGATCACATAACATCATCACTTCTTATCTCATAATCAACAATAATCACAACAATAATACACATTCACAACATCAATACACTCTTCTTTATGCAATCATATAATGCGACTTAATACTATGCAAATGCATGTGGTACCATTGGAGTAGAACTCCCATCTCAAAATTTGCCAATTAATAGAGGCATCAGCAAGGCATAAGCCTTCATCTCAATATTCATCAATACATGTCATCTCAACGAGCATAGGCTCCATCTCAAAATGCAATGTATGTGACACAATCATGAATGTAATAACAACACCATGATTAACAACATCTCAGTACAACATCTTTGTTGGCCAAAAGGCCTACATCTTAAAAGCACCTCAACATCTCTCCATCAACATCATTTATCATCATAAATCATCAAATATCATTTATACATCATTATTCATTAAAACAAACTCTCATTATTATCATCTCATCAACAACTCAGTTGTACAGTAATATAACGGTACTCATCAATTCCACAATGTTGGTCATAGGCATATACAAGATATTGCCTATAATTAATTAGTCAACTAAGGCTTACTTCTAAATCACCAAACCTCTACATGCTACTATTCTGTAATATTACGTCATTATTATCATTAATCCTACTGTTACAAACTAGACAGTACTCTATAAACGTCTCATCCTCATCCCTCTTCACAACAAACCAACATAGTGATTACCTCGGGAACTAACTCTAATCCTAATTTGGATACTAGGATTATCCTTCCTATTATTCATTTTAATCCTCAATAATAAAGCTCATCGCGTTAGCTATTCAACGCTTCGAATGACACTTCAAACAGAGTCCGAAAACTCAAGTTACAACATTCTTAAACTGATTCTGCCAAAAACCAGACAACATGGATCGACGCATAACGTCTTGGATCGACGCGTACTACACTGAACTCGCAACATGAGTTGACGTATCCTCTCTTGTATCGACTCATACTGAGTCTACCACACAGCATGTATCGATACATGCCCCTACGTATCGACTCATCCTGAGTCTAAAAGTCCTCATGGATCGATGCAAGACTCCTTCGTGTCGACTCATCTTGAGTCTCTAAACCTTCTTGTATCGACACATCATGTTTGGGGTCGACGCATACTGCTCTGTCCGGCATAATTTCTGCGATTTTCTCTGTGTTTTCACTATGGATTCCATACTTTAAGCCCTAAAAACTTAACCTAATCATGGATAATCATCGCTTACAATTATCCTACAATTCTACATCAAATAAACAGTATCGAACGTCATTATTCATCTTTAACAACATCAATTCTCATCATACAACAACACATACATTCAATTCATGAACAAGACAACAATCACCTTTAACCCTATATAACAATCATCATGAACCCAATTATAGAGTTAGAACCACACCCTTACCTTGGATTGAAGGTCGCTCTATAACTTCCGGTTGAATTCTCGTTCTGCCGTTTTTCCTCTTTTTCCAGCAGCTTCACGTTCTTCTTTCCAACCCTTATTCTTCTACTGCTTCTTCTTTCTAACAATAATAAAATAACCTATTATTCTCTTTATTCCTTGATGAGCTTAAAACTATTACACCCCCCTTATTACTTCTATTCCTTTAAAACAAGCCCACATCAAATAATATTATACTTCTAATATTATTTGACCACTTAAAATAATTCAATCCAATTAATTCACAACACAACTTCACAAATATTCCAAAAATAATTTAATTAAATAATCAATTAAATTACGGGCGTTACAACTCTCTCCCACTTAGAATATTTTCGTCCTCGAAAATTTACCTTAATCAAACAACTCAGGGTAGGAGTCTCGTATCTTGCTCTCCAACTCCCGAGCCATGCTTTCTCCGACAACTCCTAGCCAAACCACTTTAACCAAGGCAATCTCTTTGCCCCTCAGAGTCTTTATTTCACGATCTGCGATCCGTACAGGCATCGTCCCCACCGTAAGATTATCCCGTACTTGCACATCATCCATATGAATCACATGAGATGGATCTGAAATATAATTCCGGAGTTGCGACACATGAAACACATCGTGCAAATTCGAAAGATTAGGCGGTAAAGCCACTCTATAAGTAACATTCCCGACTCTCTCCGAAATCTGATATGGTCCAACAAAACAAGAAGTGAGATTCTTAGACTTCAACGCTCGCCCAATACCAGTCACAGGTGTAACTCTAAAAAACACATGGTCACCAGCTTGAAATTCTAAATATTTCCTTCGCTTGTCATGATAACTCTTCTGTCTACTTTGGGAAGCTTTTATCTTTTCTCGAATCAACTTCACTTTCTCAGTAGTCTCACTAACAAGTTCAGGTCTAAGTATTACACTTTCACCAAATTCATGCCAACATAAATGAGTTCTAAATCTTCGACCATACAACGCTTCAAAAGGTGCCATCCCAATACTAGAATGGTAACTGTTATTATAAGTGAACTCTATCAACAAAAGATAAGTATCCCACAAACCTCCCTGCTCAAGAACACATGCCCTCAATAAGTCTTCCAATGACTGAATAGTCCGCTCAGTCTGACCATCTG